CATTGCATCCCCTTCCTGTCAGTTCTTTCTCTGCTTCCACAGCACTCCACCTTCATGTTGATTTCATCAGTTTGAGTGATAAAAGCAAGTGTCCAGGGTTTGTGTTTGTAATTGTTTTGGGGTCAAGGGTTGTTTCAAACTGCTTCAGGCCTGTCTATTTCAGGACTATGGGTATAGGAGGAGTGAACATCCCCCTGGAAGAGAAATCAAGAGATCCCCAGGTCGTCTGTTACACAGGAATCTACGATACAGAAGGAGTGCCTCACACCAAAAGTGGGCAAAGACAGCCTTTACAGGTCAACATACAGGTACCATCCCTCTGAGCATGGGCAGCACATGCTGGACACTATAGTGCGTACAGAGGCAAGGGAGATAATGGAGTCAAGAACTGAATCAGATCTGGGGAGGGTGAGATTCTGGCAGCTGGTAAATGGGAAAACATAGAAAGGACTCGTTGTTGTAAAGCTCAGTCATTGTTTATTTTAAAGTGTAGACTTTAAGATGTTGCGTATAATATCCTTGCAAAGTGTGAAAGAGGCCATAGCAGAACCACACACTGAAATCACTGTTACTTTCGCCACAGCAACCTGCAAGTCTCACTGAGAAGTACTGCAAAGGGATGACCTTACCTGACCCCCTGCATTGCTCAATTCACTGAGTTGCTCCTGAGTTAAAGTGCCCCCAACTTAACAAACCATGTTTCAAATAGCATGCCACACCTTCCCTCTATGTTCCGTGTGGACACTGGTATAACAAATACTCGTTTGTTTTTAAGGAAAATCAATTTTATTCTTCTAAGTAATTCTCAGATCCACAGAGAGGACCCAGCCCCTCCACCTACTGAGGTCAATGGGGTTCTCGCCTTGTGCTCAGGTTCTTAGGTGCCAGTGCTGAAAACATTTATGCACTGGCTTAACTTTATGGCATTTCTCCCTCTGAAGCCAATGGAACTACCAAAAAAAACAAAAAAAAACAAACAAACAAAAAAAACCATCAAATTAAGCATGTGCTGTATGTGACTGCAGGATGGGGGCTTTATTTTGCTCTTCTGGGCCCAATCCCGCTGCCCTTACGTTTTGCATATCTAAAGGCTGTGGGACTGGACGCCTAGATATAAACAAATTGAGTCAAAATAATGTATTCCTTGAGAGGCTTTATATTTCAAGTAATATCTTGCTAGTATATAAAATACAGACTTGTAGAGTAAATATTTTGCCACTCCTATAAAGCAATTGTTAAAGTTTGGGAAAGTTGTGAGCAATTAAACACAGGGTCTAATAATGGAAAGTGTTGGGCAACCTTCATAATAGGTGGTGTTACCAGCCCCACCAATATTATCCAAGCACAGTAACATAAAAAGCCTAAGGAAAGGAGTGCTATTGTGCATGTTGTAATTGCTTCAAGACCAAAGACAGTCATATTAAACATGTTACATTTCTAAATACCATATATGAAGAGTTTGCCGTGATCACATAGTAACATTTTATAGTCCCAGTAGTGCAAATGGAAAATCACCATTAACAGTTATAATGGCAGGATATGGAATGTGGTAGACACTTCCATTTCAGGCTTCGTCTCTCAGGTTTTTTTGCTCAGACTGAAATTTGCTAAGCAATTGGGGGCAGGGGACGAAGAGATGTCATTTAAAGATTTTGGGAAACCTTGAGGTCTGACCAGCCTAATTGCTAAATATTCTTGTTCACACATCTATGGGGATCTGACAATGCTCCATAGCTTCCTTCCCTAGCTAGGCACCGTTCCCAAAGGGGCCTTTCACCTAGCCAGCAATTTCCAGATGAAGAATTTGGGGCAGGAGACCATATACATGGCTTTGGAATTGTCTGAATAGACCCCTTCTAAATCTTTCAAAGCACTCCCTTCTCTGGCTGCAAAGTGTACATGCGTTGTAAGCAGCAAAGCAGAATTCAACCAATAGGTTTCCAACAACATTGCTTCCTAGCTGTAATATTTTATTGTGCATAGGAACAAAATCCCACTGAGGCATCTGGACACTTCTGTTCTACACTGCATTTGGGGTAAAGCAGCATGCTTCAAAGTTGATAGACTATTAAGCGAAAGCTAAAACTATTACAAATCAGAAGCCAACTTCATTCCTTAAGAATATCGAGTTACTACTACCATTAATATGAGTATGGGAGTGAGCATGCTAATGATTTTGTTAAGCCTCTTCGCACACCCAGTGTGAACTAGATGTTTCCTGAAGCCCGAGCTAACTCAGAATCAATGGAGTGCTTGTGCAGTAAATAAAAATCCATACACTTTTCCTCCTAAAGAACCTGACTGAGTGCTTATTAAACCTTTCACATGACTTTTTTGAGTTCACCTTGGTTTGAAAGGAAAACTGCAAAGGAATGTAAAATTTCCAACTACTTGCTCAGATGGATGAGAAGACTGAACCCTTAAGAGTTAATTAAATGTGAAATAATGACGATGGGAGCAGGTATATTGTCAGTTTAATGTAGGAAGATCAGAGAAGCAGTAGATTTCCACAGGTCTCTTCAGAAAAAGTTCTATATGGTTTCTAGACATTTGTGTGGTGGAGTCTTCTTGGTATTCACTGTTTACCTCTATAAAGATGTGAGGGGCAGAACCTTAGCTGGAAGAAATTGCCCATAGCTCCATGGACACCAGCTGAGGATCTGGCGCAGAGTGTTAAATTTCTGCTCTTCTAGCTGCGGTTCTGCCCTTGCTATCCTGATGTGTGCTCAGGCTACATTTTCTGTTGCACTTATCATTACTATGGCAATCCCTATCCGCAGGGGTTCCACCCCGTCAATTCATGTCAATAATGATTGAAATGTTTTCAAAGTGGTTTTAAATATTGATTTGTGATTACCTTGAAAATCTGTTTAGAGGAATTTATATTTATATATAGACACACTCATTTGATATATGTAGTCATCTAAAGAGTAAAATCTTTCCATTTATGGTGTATAGGTACCCACTCAAAGAAATCACTTATCAGAGCACTGTACTAAATTAAGTAGATTCCCGTTTAAATTTTTAAGACTTCAAGTACTTTTTTTTATTTACTAGTGTGACATACTAAAAAGATTGAGTAATTTAAGAATCGTGCCACCACTGTAAATAGTTTACACATAACTACAACATGTGTAACTTAACATCGGCGGTCTATATCCTAACTTGAGATACCTCCTTATAATGAGAGGTAATAGCAGATACACTTTTATTTTCCTGGGCAATTTCATTAGCCCTTAAGTGCTTTGTACCATATTCATCACTGCAACATACCACTGCCTGCTTAATATGAGAATTTACCCATGAAAAGCAAATGCCCAGCATCATTTCTGAATTCTGAGAATGTATTTTCTTTTCAAAGGTATAAGATTAAGATGCAAGATTATTTTCTGTACAAGTTACAAAGGCAATGTCCACTAAATTCCATCAGTAGGTGTAGCAGTCGTGTTCTGCTGTGTCCCCATAGAGAATGTGGAGAAAATGATGCTTTAGAAGAATCAAACTTCACCGAATAAAGTATCTCCATTCTGCTAGCCATGAAGTTTTCACTCCTACAGCACAGCACGTCTGTGAGCCCTGAAAATCCAGTAGTGTATTTTTCCTTTGGACATATTTTAACATGAACTCATAGGAGGCCCAGGCTTCTGAAGGCTGATTTTTGGTACTGAAATGAAGCAATAACAATATTTGTTCAAACAGCAGCTTTAGAATCAAATCCTGAGATACTGTGAAGTCAACAGGATTTGAAATTGGTAAGCAGCTATTCAACACCTCTCAGGATTTGGTCTAAAGAGCTCAGTCTTTCAAATGTGGGTACTTAAATCTGTATTTAGGCTTCTAAGTATTCAATATAGGTATCTAAACATGGAATTAGGTGTTTAAATTAGCATTTAGTTGCTTAAAGGTATGTAGATCTTTAAGAGATTTAGGCACTTAACTTTAGACAGTCCAATCTGAAAACTAGTTTGTGTCCATTTGCGTGCTTAAGCAGTATATAGAGCCCAATTTAAATGTCTAGGTTTTAGAAATTGGCCTTCTTGTATACAGCTTTAATTTCTTTCCCACCCTCCGAACCCTACCCTTTTTTATCCCTGTGTGGATGGTTACCCTGCTCTTCCAATTCTACAGCAGACAAGTCATGTTCTGATGCACACTAGGAAAGGAAGATACTGTGTAAGGGATTAATCCTAGAGTCCTTACTCCAAGCTAAACTTTCATTGAAAGCAGTCAGTTTTGCTTGAATAAAGAGAGCAGGACTGGGCCTCAAGTCATAAACTAGCATTTGAATGGGTAAAAGCCAGAAAATTCCTAGTAATTTATCAGCCAAGATAACCTTTTTCAGAACAGGTAACAAGAAGTTATTTCTTGAGCACAATATATCGAATTTCAGTTACGTGACTTCTTAAACTCTTGTTAATTGTTGGTAGCTAGAGGGATTGAGGGAATAACTAACTACTGAGCCCTGTAGCACATGGATGGGTGATTGTATAAAGAACTATGGCACATACCTGCAAGAGAGGGAAAGGACCTTCTGATTCTAAGTTTACTTTAGCTACCACTACTAACCATGCAGTCCTGGAGAGTCCCTAGGTGGTGGAACTGGGGTAGTTCTTCTGCAGGGTGATGGGACTTTAGGGGAACCATGTAGGGATTGCTCAGTCACCTAGATGGTGCTGCCTGTGCTTACGCATTGGGTTGGGGCACAGCATGGCCAAAATGTCCACAGATCATCCTATCCTTCCCCAGGAATCCCACAGTGGGGCTGCATTAAGATCATAAGGACTATTCAGGGTAGTTCTGCAGGGTTTGGGTTGGGGGGAGGGATTCTTTTCCCTGTACATCTCTCCAGTCCAGCTTCTCTATACAGTTGCTATGAAGTCGATACCCCCATCACTTATTTCCTGGCCTATCCCATCTAATCCTATCAACAGTATTACAACTGACTTTTTTCTCCAAGGAAGTTCACAGACATCCCCCCCCACCATTCTCTGCTCCCCCAAATACACATGCAAACTCCTTTAGTGCATTGCACAAGGCTCTCCATCAGATTAACTATCCTCTCAGATGAGGATGGCTGACACTTCCCTCCACTAGCAATGCCATTCCTGGGTTGGTAAGTGGGGTTCCTTGAGCAGGAGGAGGCAGTCCTTTTCCCCAGGGCTAAGCACGGTGCTTACACAGCACTCTCAGCCTCTACTGCTTTGGGTTACAAGTGGCCCCCAGGCTGGGTAGCTGAAACCATGTCCGTTCCTTGGAAATGAACACAGCCACTGGGGAGAGTGTGGGAGAGCTGCTACAGTAACTTCAGATTCTCAGTAACTGTTTTCTGTGACTTCCTGTAATAGTGCAGATATTAAGGCGACACCCATGACTGAAGTCCGATTGTCAAAAGAACTCAGAACCAGTAGCTCCCATTATGATCATGACAAATTCTAATTACCAATGGGCATTGCTGGGTGCAGAGTTCTTTTGAAAAGGTGTCCCTTCCGCAGCAACAAGGTGGGTGAGGTAATAAATGTGTCCCTTAGGTTAGGCAGTGGCAGCTTACTAACTGCTCAGCAGGCAGAAGCAAAATAACCGCCCAACCGGGAAATAAGCTGTAATCGGTCAGGTGTAGACACGGAAGCTTCTGCTTCTTCAGGCTGGCTGAAAGAGTCATTCTGAAAAGGGATTTACATGATGACTTTCCAGTGGTGAATACAGTATGTGGATGATCAAAGGTCAGCTCCTGAATGTATGATTGCAATGAAAACCGTCACATGGAGAAGAGTCATTATTAAAATGAGCAATAGGAATATTTTAAAAGGAACACTAAAAACATAGTAATACTTATTCCATTGCAGTAGTACTGACTTCAGCGGTTAGTCTCCTGCAAATAGAACATACACCAATATAATGCTCTGTTGAGCCTGGAGCTGGCGTGTACAAACCCTCATACCCACATTTCAAAGACAACCTCCAAGGTCATTTGTGCTGGTGAAAATCTGCAGGACCTCAGTTGAAGTCAGTGGAGTAATTCCCACATTTACACAGGTGCAATTAAAATGATAATCTATCCTTGTACCTCTCATGCGAGCGTATTCTGCTGGTGTCTTGCAAGAGGTTGGGGGGAAAACATGAGATATTTCCTACTGTTGGAATTCCAAGTTATTATTACTGTAGCCCCATTCATTTCTAAATAACATGTTTAAAGTAATGTTAGTTCATAGACAAACGCCAAGTCCAATACAACTTGAAATCAATTCTCTTTCATTGTAATGGAACGTACCCAATCACTCATACTTCGCTATCTCCTAAGCAACCGCTAGAATATACTTTGCTATCTCCTAGCTTCTGTCATTTGTCCCTAAATTATGATTCAATAGCACATCACAATGAACAGTGATTATAGCAAAATGTAAGTGGGAGCCTCTCTCACTCTTGTTTGGTATAAAAATGTGGAATAGAAGCCAAGGAAAGTCTACAGATAGCTCACATAGTAATAACTTGCATTAATCTACAGATTGAATGGCACCGCAAATGAAAAAATAAGGTAACACTCGAGACTGCAGGCAAAGCAAAAAGGAGGAAATTCATTACGGTTAATTCTATGTACAGATCAAAGTACACAGGTAACCCACTAACCTCAGATCTCCTGGCAAGCACAGTACATTGCACAATGCTGGAAAACCACATCTCATATGTTGGCGATATATATTTCACACAATATGTATTTGGCATAATCACCTGCTTTCATCACCTCACCAAGTGTTGCAGGATCCTCATTTAAAGCATTATAAGCCTGATTCTCCACTGCCTTGCCCCCAGAAGTTACTTGCACTTACAGAAAGTGGGTATAAAATGGTACCCGGTCAGAATGGTATCACTTTCACTCACCTTGCACAAGTATAGATGAGTGGCAGAGGGACAAGGCAGGGGAGAATCAGGCCCTGTATGTACTACTAATTATGCTTAGGCACTAAAGATTGCATGAAGGATACTATGGCAACCTTGAAAGATCTTTGATTTTGCTACTTTGGGAATAACCCTTACATTAGTGTTTCACACGCGCAGTTTAGTTGGAGGGCACATTGCATTGAGGAAGAGGGGGAAAATTTAAGCTGCTTACTAACAACTTTATTCCCTGTCCTTCGCAGTTTAGTGACATCGGCACTTTTGAGACAGTCTGGCAAGTCAAATTCTATGACTACCACAAACGAAATCATTGCCAATGGGGAAACGCCTTTGGTAGCATCGAATATGAATGCAAACCCAATGAGACACGCAGTCTTATGTGGATCAACAAAGAGATGTTCCACTGAAGATGAGCAAAGTGGACACTGCTGGACAATCTTTTTTTTTAAAAATCTACCTTTAAACCAGCACAAAGCCTTAACAAAGGCATACTATACAGTTGCTTTGTCCCGCGTGGTACAAATAACATGCTAAATTATACATACAGTGGGTGCCATTAAACCTTGACACTTGCTACTCACAGTATTTGAACTTATCATGGCATCTGCAGTATTCTTCATCCTTGCAGTAGGGAATTCTGCAGGCACCTTGGTAAAGTAAACACTGTGATGCCAACAAGATGTGGATAATACCCACTAAACAGTATCACTGGATGTAATACCCTTGGTGAAATACCTTGCATTAGTAAAATTCAGATCCAACTTCATATTAGTGATGATTTCTGTATTTATATTTGTGTTGTCCCTAAAACATGCTCCATTGTGCAGTTTGTCTACGTCTTGTCATGGTAGACAGCAGAAGTGCAAGTTCTGGATGTTTGGACATTGGCTACTGCACTGTTGAAGTTGCGTTTTCATATTGGGAGACTCGGACATACTGAGTCTCCCTCTTCTGTTAATGTCGTAAAATATGCTGTGACTGGCTTTCCTCTTTTGTGAAATTTGGTAAAATGTCATTGTTTTGCTATGTTCCCCAGTTCCTGAAGTGATTTTTGAAAAACCAAGAGATACCATGAAAACCATTAGCATAACAAAACATACCGAAAAGCAATAAATCTGTGGTCTTAAAGGCATAATTGCACATCTATTGATGTTGCTGATACATATCTTTAGAGCATGTACACTGCTCTAACAAAATATAATGGTCACACCTAATGTTCTCTGAGTTCGTCGAGATTATCAGTTCCAGTGGTAGTCTCAATTTTTTAAGACTAGGAATATTGCTCAAACCAGTAGAATCTTTCAAAAGAAATGAATTTTTTGAGGTGTGATCACTGTACTGTACTAAAACCTCCAGACTTTCATATCAGCCAGAAATACTCATCTCTGAAGAAGGGCCCAGATCCTGCAAATGCTCACACATGTGACAGCAAAAGGACAGTCAAGTTGTAAGTAAAGTGCATCAGTGCACACTTGTGCATGAGTGTTGCAGGATCATGACTTAAGGTGCTAAACATGTAATTTCCAATGTTTACAGCTGAGAGGCAAAGGGGAACGTAGATTCAGATTTCTTCTTTCAATAAATAAAGCAGGTAAATTACTATACTGTCCCACCTTCGATCTCTGCTGGGTTAAGTTCTCTCTCTGGTATATTAGTTGTTCCTGTAATCCTTTGTGAATAATTTTTAAATCATGTCTGTAAATTGTAATCACAACTTTTGACCTTTTTAATAAAGGACTTGGAAACAATCTATATTTTTCTGAGCATGTGCCATCTAATTGGCTTCTCTTACTTTTGACTTTAAAGTTGAGTATAGGAAGATGAAGGCCAAGATTTTCAAAAGTGACTAGTGATTTTAGGCACCTACCTTGAAACATCTTTGGAAAGGACCTGACATAGAGGGTTGGTTTTAACATGTTCCGAAAATCAGGCCCCTTTAAAATGTCTCAAGTTGGGTGCCAAAAATCACTAGTCACTACTGAGAAATTCTGACTCCACATGCTAGAACCCAGGCAGCGAGGATTGTCTTAGTAGTATGTACAGATACAGATTCCATATGAAGTTCATAAACAGAAGACAGAATTTGTCACCACCATATTGTGACATTACCCAAGGTACAATCTGTACTGATGAACAGCTTTGTCACCTCCAACATATAAATGATTCCCAGTTACAGTGTATGAGTGCTATAGCCAACCACTGATGAATTACACTGCAGAGCAACATCAGCAAATTCCCAGTCCCATACTTTCCCCCAGAAATGTACATCTTGTAGTGCCGAGCTCTCTCCTGGAGTATACAAGCTCATATAAAGTCTGTCATTTTATTAATAGAAAATGATATGAACAAATCCTGTTATCCCAAATGGAGTTTCCCAAATACTTCAATCCAAACACACTAGTTTAGATAAAACAGTAAAACAAGCTTATTAACTACAAAAGATAGATTTTAAGTGACTACAAGTAACGAGGCATGAAAGACAGAATTGATTATAAGAAAATAAAAGTAAGACGCAACTAATGCCTAACTTAACAAGTTAATTGAATTCAAAGAAAAAGTCTCTTTTACCACAGGTTTTAGAAATTTTACTGGTTGAATGTCTCTCAGTCAGGATCTCTCCCCCAGTCCAATGTTGCTTCCTTTGTTCGTCAAGTGTTGTTGATGCCATGGGTAGAGAGAAAATGAGGACTCAGTTGGGGCATCTGCTCTTCTTTCTTATAGGTCTTTCTTTTCTTTGAGAATCATCTCCAGCTGAGGTTCACGAGACTGAAAGTATGTGTGGACGGGAACCACCAGCACTTTCTTTGTTAAGATGTAGATTTTCACCTCACATCTTTTCTTGCCAAAGAATGGTTACTGTCCATTTGATTTTGTTGATTTTGCTGACACCTAGCTGAGGCGTTGGTAGCCTTTTGTCTCTAGAGAACTGGTTTGTGACTGCTCTCCAGATGTGGAATATGCCTTAGAAATATCATAGAGTAGAATCTTATAACTTTACATACAATGTTGTAACACATAGTTCACCAGGACAATTATGATTAGCAACTTATGAGTTTTCAAATGATACCTTATAAGACATACTTTGTACAAAATTGATCATAGTCCTGTAAAAGGGGTGAACATAGGGGTACAGACTGTCACACAAATAATTTGGGCAAGCCTAAATTAAGGACAAATTAAAAAGGGACATGGAAAAAGTGTTGGAGAGAAGGCTTTGGATTATTTGACCATGGGATGGTATTCCAAGAAGAAGGAGTGCTAGGCAGAGACGGATGCCACTTAATGAAAAGAGGGAAGAGCATCTTCGCTAGCAGGCTGGCTAACCTAGTAAGGAGGACTTTAAACTAGGTTCACTGGGGGAAGGAGACCAAAGCCCTGAGGTAAGTGGGGAAGTGGGATGCCAGGAGGAAGCACGAGCAGGAGAGCGCAAGAGGGGAGGACTCCTGCCTCATATTGAGAAAGCAGGATGATCAGCGAGTTATCTTAAGTGCGTATACACAAATGCAAGAAGCCTAGGAAACAAGCAGGGAGAACTGGAAGTCCTGGCACAGTCAAGGAATTATGATGTGATTGGAATAACAGAAACCTGGTGGGATAAATCACATGACTGGATTACTGTCATGGATGAATATAAACTGTTCAGGAAGGACAGGCAGGGCAGCAAAGGTGGAGGAGTTGCACTGTATGTAAGAGAGCAGTATGACTGCTCAGAGCTCCAGTATGAAACTGCAGAAAAACCTGAGAGTCTCTGGATTAAGTTTAGAAGTGAGAGCAACAAGGGTGATATCGTGGTGGGAGTCTGCTATAGACCACCAGACCAGGGGGATGAGGTGGACAAGGCTTTCTTCCGGTAACTAACAGAAGTTACTAGCTCACAGGCCCTGGTTCTCATGGGGGACTTCAATCACCCTGATATCTGCTGGGAGAGCAATACAGCGGTGCACAGACAATCCAGGAGGTTTTTGGAAAGTGCAGGGGACAATTTCCTGGTGCAAGTGGTGGAGGAACCAACTAGGGGCAGAGCTCTTCTTGACCTGCTGCTCACAAACAGGGAAGAATTAGTAGGGGAAGCAAAAGTGGATGGGAACCTGGGAGGCAGTGACCATGAGATGGTCGAGTTCAGGATCCTGACACAAGGAAGAAAGGAGAGCGGCAAAATACGGACCCTGGACTTCAGAAAAGCAGACTTTGACTCCCTCAGGGAACTGATGGGCAGGATCCCCTGGGAGAATAACATGAGGGGAAAAGGAGTCCAGGACAGCTGGCTGTATTTTAAAGAATCCTTATTGAGATTGCAGGAACAAACCATCACGATGTGTAGAAAGAATAGTAAATATGGCAGGCGACCAGGTTGGCTTAACAATGAAATCCTTACTGATCTTAAACACAAAAAAGAAGCTTACAAGAAGTGGAAGATTGGACAAATGACCAGGGAGGAGTATAAAAATATTGCTCAGGCATGCAGGAGTGAAATCAGGAAGGCCAAATCACACTTGGAGTTGCAGCTAGCAAGAGATGTTAAGAGTAACAAGAAGGGTTTCTTCAGGTATGTCAGCAACAAGAAGAAAGTCAAGGAAAGTGTGGGCCCCTTACTGAATGAGGGAGGCAACCTAGTGACAGAGGATGTGGAAAAAGCTAATGTACTCAATGCTTTTTTTGCCTCTGTCTTCATGAACAAGATCAGCTCCTAGACTACTGCACTGGGCAGCACAGTATGGGGAGGAGGTGACCAGTCCTCTGTGGAGAAAGAAGTGGTTCAGGACTATTTAGAAAAGCTGGATGAGCAGAAATCCATGGGGCCAGATGCGCTGCATCCGAGGGTGCCAAAGGAGTTGGCAGATGTGATTGCAGAGCCATTGGCCATTATCTTTGAAAACTCATGGCGATCGGGGGAGGTTCCGGATGACTGGAAAAAGGCTAATGTAGTGCCCATCTTTAAAAAAGGGAAGAAGGAGGATCCGGGGAACTACAGGCCAGTCAGCCTCACCTCAGTCCCTGGAAAAATCATGGAGCAGGTCCTCAAGGAATCAATTCTGAAGCACTTAGAGGAGAGGAAAGTGATCAGGAACAGTCAACATGGATTCACCAAGGGCAAGTCATGCCTGACTAACCTAATTGTCTTCTATGATGAGATAACTTGCTCTGTGGATGAGGGGAAGGCAGTGGACATGTTATTCCTTGACTTTAGCAAAGCTTTTGACACGGTCTCCCACAGTATTCTTGCCAGCAAGTTAAAGAAGTATGGCCTGGATGAATGGACTATAAGGTGGATAGAAAGCTGGCTAGATCGTCGGGCTCAATGGGTAGTGATCAATGGCTCCATGTCTAGTTGGCAGCCGGTATCAAGCGGAGTGCCCCAAGGGTCGGTCCTGGGGCTAGTTTTGTTCAATATCTTCATTAATGATCTGGAGGATGGCGTGGACTGCACCTTCAGCAAGTTTGCAGATGACATTAAACTGGGAGGAGTGGTAGATAAGCTGGAGGGTAGGGATAGGATACGGAGGGACCTAGACAAATTAGAGGATTGGGTCAAAAGAAATCTGATGAGGTTCAACAAGGACAAGTGCAGAGTCCTGCACTTAGGATGGAAGAATCTCATGCACTGCTACAGTCTAGGGACTGAGTGGCTAGACAGCAGTTCTGCAGAAAAGGACCTAGGGGTTACAGTGGACGAGAAGCTGGATATGAGTAACAGTGTGCTCTTGTTGCCAAGAAGGCTAATAGCATTTTGGATTGTATAAGTAGGGGCATTGCCAGCAGATCGAAGGACGTGATCATTCCCCTCTATTCGACATTGGTGAGGCCTCATCTGGAGTACTGTGCCCAGTTTTGGGCCTCACACTACAAGAAGAATGTGGAAAAATTGGAAAGAGTCCAGCGGAGGGCATCAAAAATGATTAGGGGTCTGGAGCACATGACTTATGAGGAGAGGCTGAGGGAACTGGGATTGTTTAGTCTGCAGAAGAGAAGAAAGAGGGGGGATTTGATAGCTGCTTTCAACTACCTGAAAGGGGGTTCCAAAGAGGATGGATCTAGACTGTTCTCAGTGGTAGCAGATGACAGAACAAGGAGTAATGGTCTCAAGTTTCAGTGGGGGAGGTTTAGGTTGGATATTAGGAAAAACTTTTTCACTAGGAGGGTGGTGAAGCACTGGAATGCGTTACCTAGGTAGGTGGTGGAATCTCCTTCCTTGGAGGTTTTTAAGGTCAGGCTTGACGAAGCCCTGACTGCAATGATTTAGTTGGGGCTTGGTCCTGCTTTGAGCAAGGGGTTGGACTAGATCAGGGGTCAGCAACGTTCAGCACGCGGCTCGCCAGGGTAAGCACCCTGGCAGGCCGGGCTAGTTTTATTTACCTGCTGACGCGGCAGGTTCGGCCGATCGCAGCCCCCACTGGCCGCGGTTCGCCGTCCCGGGCCAATGGGGGCAGCGAGAAGCGGCGCGGGCGAGCGA